AAGAAGAGGAAGACAGCAATTACACTGGTGCATCTCGGCAGCTCTGGAGAAGTTGGCCGATTATTTAAAGTGCCATCTGGTCTTCTCTTTGAACTTCCGATCAAACACCGAGTGCGGGCCACTGTTGTTGATTTTTTTAAAGTTATTTCTCTTTCTCTCTCTCTCCCTCCCTTAAAAAAAATAATTCAAGGAATTAGCGGATTACATATTAATGCCCTGTCGCGTGAAGCCTCCATCAAGCTCAAACCTCATGCATTTATGCATCAAAGTGTGATGCCACTCAGGATCGACTAACGGTTTCCTCTATGAATTGTTTGTCGCCATTCTGTTGTTACTGGAGTCTCTGGTTTGGTATTGAAATCTGTTTGGGGCACCTTGACTTGGCCGTTCATTCAGATGGGGAGAGCACACACCTTCACTCAGTAACACCTTCTGTGTGATCTGTAACCCATAGTCAGGTTATCTGTTTGTGGACGTGACCGTTTTTTTTTCCTAAGGCGGATGGTATAGTTTGGAAGGACAAAAATTGGAAGTTTAGTCACACGTAGCTCGATTTCCTAATGTCACAAGTTGTAGATGGCAGGATAACTCAATTCAATTCAACTTTATTTGTCATTATACTTACACAGGTGCATAGTATAGTGAAAGGTGTTTCTCATGAGTCACTCAGGTGCAGTATATAAATAGAACAGAAGATAAGACAATAGACAGTAACATAATAACAGTAACGGTGTAATAACATAACAGATAATCAAAACTGTGCAAATACACAAACAGAGAAAGAATACAACAGGAGAAAAATAGTGCAAAAGTAACTAAGACAGTTTGAAGTACAATTTCGGCTTATTCAGTTGTGTATGTAGTGGTGTTGGAGTACAGTCCTTGTGGGTACAGGAAGAAGTGAGGAGAGATCATAGTATGATGGCATGGAGTGGGGGCGTCACAATTCTGTAGCGTGTTCACAGGGTGGGAGAGCGTTAAGCAGGCATTTGATTATGAGCCTGAAGAATTCGTCAGAAAACATTAGCAGGTAAAGCGGCCTGTGCAGAGTTACCGGATTGCGATCTTCCAAGAAACGCTGCTTTTGTGTGTCCCGGTCCGTGCGGAAATCCCTCTGCTTTTCCACGGCTCTGCCCAGCCTGGAAGAAGAGTGCTGGGCTGGGGGCTCCGTTAAGGATTGTCCCCGCCGCTGGAGAAACCTTGCGGGGCAGAGTCCCGGGAGAGCGGACGAGCAGGGGGATCGCACCTGGGCTGCCAGCGTCTCCGGGGAGCGTCGCCGCGGCGCCGCCTGTCCCAGCTGCGTGGCCATGGGGTACCCAGGCGCGAGTCTGTGCTCAGTGAGGAATCGGCACCCCCGGGGTAGCCCAAATGGGGCACAGCGGCAAGCTTACTCGCATCGCCCGAGGCATGGGGCAGAGGGAGAGATGCCTGTGCTTTTGCTAACAAAACAGAATAAGGGAACCCATCTCAGAGAGTCAGGACTCATTTGGAATGTCAGTCAATTATTTTTAGTTGCAGCATCTTTCAGTGTAGCCGTGTTTTTCCAAACCTATGCTTTTAAAGTGCCCACTACCCACTTGAACGCTTTCAAAGGACCCACTAGTTTGAGTGTTTCTCTATGCAATGGAGGTGTCTGGCTGGAGAGTAATAAAGGAACTGCAACAAAGAATTACGTTTTCATTAAGAACAAACAATACTTTCCCCTCACAAAGGGTTGGCGAGGCAGAATTCGGTTCCACGTGCTGCAGATGAGCCTTTTTCACTCAGCGTTAGGAGGCCCTGGAGTGGTTGCCTTACTTTATTTGTGACAGTTGTGAAGGGTCTGTGTTTTGCTTGGTTCTAAAGTGCAGTGCGCTTAGAGAGGAAGATTGATGGGTGTTAAGGAAATCCCAGGGCTGTCACAGAACTTAAACTGTTGAAATAGTCATTCATATTGTTGTTGTTTATTAATCTCGCCTAACGGGTGATATACACACGTTTACAGTATAAAAGGTATATTCTTACACTGGTAAATATGCTGTTGCTTCCCTTCCGTGGAGGATGATTGCTCAAGTCTCTTTCTTCATTTCAATTTCGTTATCCATTAGCACTGCCGTGGGAATATACGGTTGCATCCTGTAAATGTGCAGTTGTGTGTTAGAAATAACAAGCTGTGCTTTTACACTGCTTGCATCACCATACCCTTCTTCAGAGTAGTCGTCTTTCGAAGTCCCCAGGGGTTAGGCACGACACAAAGCACACGCCCGGGCCTTTTTAGCCAGCGGCTAACGATTAAGTCATTTCAAATCGTTAGAGTCAACCGGGACGCTTCGGTGCTCTTTAGACGGTGAGCGTGTGGAGCCGATTTCCTTTCTGGACATCAAAGTGAAGTTGTGACTTTGCAGAAGTATCCCCCCCCCCCCCTTCCCATTGAGAAGGGAAAGAAAGCGCTCAGTTGACTCGGTCGTGATGAATAGAGCTCTGTGGCGCAGTTTCTGCAGTGGATGCTGGAAACCAACAGGAAACCTGTGAAAGGCCTGACGCTCCTGGTGCTTTTGCAGTGCCTTCACTTATGGCCTGAGGTGTCAAAGACTGATTCAAGAGAAAGAAATCCGAGCTGCCTGCCTGCCTGCTGCTCCGTTCTCCTCTATGCTTTTTTTTTCTCCTTCTGCGCCATAAACGCTTGTGCTGCATGGTGTTTGTTCCCTCAGAGGTTTCGGACCAGGGACTGAGCCTTCCCTGTCAGCTCTGTGCAGATGGGACTGGGGAGAAGCCCCGCGAGCTTGCTCTGTGGGTTCCTGCCCTGTAGGGATGGGGTGCGTTGCAGAGACTCAGGGTAGGGGGGCGCAGCACATTCTTCAGAACGATTCTCTCCCGTCTTTGATGAGCAGGACCGCGGGGGGTCTGGAGATGAGCCGCTGCACTCGGTGACACCCAGAACCGCAGTAATTGAGCCATCTTGTTAATGGCCTCAAAGCAGAACATCGCATTAACCTCTGTCTTCATCCCCCCCCTTTAAAGGAAAATAAGTTATTAGCGGCTCCTCTTTCAGGCTCACGGTCGTTTTCCAGCATTAGCATAATGCGGAGATAACGACCCGCGCCCTGCAGTTCCAGCTCTCAGCGGCAGCACGTGCGCGGGATCCCAGACCTACCAGGCCGAACCCGCGCCGAAAACCACGGAGCAAAGAGTGGCACACTTCTGGTGAAACAGTCACGCATACTTAAACATGGAAGACTGCAAACACACCCTGGCAGATGTTTCTAAATGAGTGCGCGTTAATTGAGTGGGGGTGGACGTCCACAGATTGATTTTTAGATTTCTTCCTTTAGGAATTAAGTGCGTTTTGCATGCACTGCGTGCATTTTTCACTTAACGGTACTCTTACAAACCATGGTTTCTGACTTTGCGGGGATTTCGTGCGCTATCACAGAATGTGAACTTGGCGTGTAAAGTTGGAATGCTTTGATTTTGAGGTGCTTCAATCACCTGGATGTAAAATGGTCTTCATTTGCTTAATTGGCCAGTCTTTTACAGCCATGAACTATATTCAAATCAATCGAATCCTAACGTCTTAACTGTAAGATCTTTTCCCTGCTTACATACAGTATAATAGGATTATTTTTACTTTAAGTCATCCGATAGGGGAGTATTAGAAAAAAAGTCTCAAATTGAAATGCTGTTTGGAGTTAAGAGGCTAAGAGGTAGCATTTGTAATTTTATAAGGCATTTTTAGAAACATCCGTTAACAGAATCATTGCTTCAAACAGAATCAAGGATGAGTCTGCATGCACTGAACACATATACTGTAAGTGAAATCAAAGACTTTAAATGCTCTATTGAAGACCATGGAATGTGTACAGGCATGCCAATATAAGGCCACTCTTTTAGTGAAGCTGTACACTGTATGATTAGAGGAAGAATTAAATAAAGCCACACTTTTACTTTGTGACCCTCACTTCCAGCTTCCATTGTGCCTGCTTTACAAATCTGTGTAATAATTGAAAGATGACTCACTCTATTTTAATGAAGTGCATGAAGACATTATTAGAATTAGCATTCAACTTCTGAGTGAAAATGCAGAGTGGTTTAAAAAAAACACCCCTGTGCTATTAGGATTAGTCAATCACCCAATTAGTTAATTAAAACATTGAAGTTTCAGTTTTGTCACAGTTGTGTTTGTTTGTTTTTTATGCTCAGTATGTGTACCAGTACCCAAATACATCCTCATTTATATATCAAGAGCACACCAAAGAACTAATTTAGATATGTAATTTGCAGATTATTTGCTTTCTTATTTCCTGATGTAAAAATGAAATGATATACTGATGTATTTTTAATGCACAATAAACCTTGTTTAGCGAATTTAGGTCCTTAAATTAAAATAAAGGTGTTTTTTTTCAAGTTGACATTAGACCTGCCAGAATTTGGACATCAACTGGTCACTTAAATCTGCATATTGAGAACTGACCTCAAGAATCCTTATGCACCCCTGAGTTGGAATGCAGAAACAAATACACGTTTCAGGCTCTCAGAAACAACTTTGGAAAGTCTGTAAGGAGGAATCTTAATGACAAGTGGCCTTGTGTGCCTGTCCTTCGCTTGGAGTCAGGTGTGGCTGTACGAGTAGATTTGCTCAATGTTTTTATTTGCACTGGGAGAGATCTGCAGACCTGAGCTCTACGGAGCTCAAGGCACCTGCGGAGGCAGTAGTGGCGGAGTTATTTAATAGTGCTGATTGATCACTCTGCTTTCCTTCAGGCCTACTAATTAAAGGTGCTCTGCCCGGAATGAATGTCCTGTTTCAAGTTATTAAGATCAAGAGGAAAAGAATGACTTGTTTTAATCCGAGCTTCTGCCCCCTCTGTGTTTGTGATACCCTCCCTTTTCGTGCTCTCTTTGTTTGTTGCTAGTTCTGCGTTCTGGCGTTGTGGGTTCAGGAGCCAAGCTATATAGGGTGTGAGCTGGCTGTCCTGACAGGGCCACTGAACCGAAAGATTGTGCTCTCTTTTCTGATGCAGACCTTCCCCTGGTGAATCTGTCGGTGGAGCCCCAGCCCATCCTCGAGGGAAACCTGGTGAAGTTCCACTGCTCTGCCAAGGCCAACCCTCCAGTCACGCAGTACAGGTAAGAATGGGTTTTCCTCTCCGGAAAAATTGCCTACAGCCGGGACCTGGTCCCCCTGCTCCTTGCGGGACTTTCTTGCGGGAGACGTGTCTCTGCACAGCAGACACACAAGGGCGACTTGCGTCCTCAGACCTACAGGTCCTCACGTGGCCTAGTGTCATCGGTATTATAGAGTGAACATTGAGACCACTGTCTCTCTCAGTGAAAATAGGCATGGTGTAGTTTTATAATTGTGCCGCACACACACAGGACTGAGGAAGGCACTATGGTTGTGTAATGGCGAGATGGATGTGACCATCTTTGTCTAAAGAAACGTCTCTGGAGATTGCAGGGTAACAGCAACTCGGAACATATGAATGTTTTATTTGTACTTTTTCTTACACATTTGTATGAGTGATTCGGAATCCTTGCTGAGGCTTTCAGAATGAAACCTATAGCTCATCGGGATAAGCGTTTCGTGTTTGCTGGGTGATATTGTGTTTTTTTTCACCTGTTAAAAAACACTAAATCTAAAATTGGATGCATCTGTTAACTGATGTTTTTGTGTGTTACTTCTGGATGCTCTGGACTCCTTCCACCTATCAAAGATGTCTCTGGGTTGCACCCTGTGTCCCTGTGTCCCTGTCCATGTGTCCAGGGAGTAGTTTTTCCTTGCACCCACTGCTTTCAGTGGGTGCAAGGAAAAACTGTGGGCGGAGTGGTGGCTCTGTGGCTAAGGATCTGCGCCTGTGACCGGAAGGTTGTCGGTTCAAATCCCGCGGCCGGCAGAGGAATCCTACTCCGTTGGGCCCCTGAGCAAGGCCCTTAACCCCAACTGCTCCAGGGGCGCCTTGCAATGGCAGACCCTGCGCTCTGACCCCAAGCTTCTCTCCCTGTCTCTGTGTCTGTGTCTCCCTGGAGAAAAGCTGGGGTATGCGAAAAGACGCATTCCTAATACAAGAAATTGTATAGGGCTAATAAAGAAACATTACATTACATTACATTACAGAATTGGCACTGGGTCCTTACCAGGAATAAACAGCTTCCCCACAATGAATGGATGAGTATATGTCCCTGTTGAAGAACTGCTTCATAAAGGTACTGAGGTGCAGAGATGTATTGCTTGTTTTTTTTTTTCAAAAGACAAAAGAGGGCTCTGTTTGGTTCCTTGAACCCTCAAATGGAAGCGTGCATTTCACATTGTCACTTGGGTTTCAGGAGTCACTTGCCTGAAGCACAGGGATGCCTCAGGTGAGAGACATGAATTAGTAAAGTCCTGCAAAAGTTCTTGTGCGTCTCTGCTTATTCACACAGGCTAGCGGCCCTGCCAGGGGTACAACACCTCCGCTTTTACCAGCCGTAGACTCAGGCCCCTGTCTCTGCTCAACAGATGCGATGAATAATGAATAATTGATATCACTGAGACTGGGAGTGTTCCACATGTTTCTCCACCATCTGTTTATATCATTTTAATTTTTTTAAAAAAGTAACAGTAAACTGTAGGCAAAAGCATCAGTGCTCTTAGTCAGATGTTGTTGTTGTTGTTGTTTTTTATTTCACTGAATGAAAAGTAGGAAAAAAACAACATTTCGGCAAAAAACAATGGAGACGTGGAAAGTAGAGGATAAGTAAAATAAGGGGTCTGTCAGTCCCTGGCCAGTCTTTGAAACTGCCTCTGTGATGCTTTTCCACCCATCAAAATTGTTACCTTAATTTAGAAGTACAGTACATAAGCATTCACTGTACAGCTTTGACAAGAAAATACCCTTAAATAACCTTGTAGTATGAAAGCTAGACATTGGGAATATCAGAGAGGCATCTATTGCACCAATTATTGCTTTATACAAGATCCAGCTCTGGTAAATGTATAGGGATATGTAAGGAAATAGATACACAATATGGGTCATATTAATGGCAGAAACCATTGCCTATTTTGAGCAGCAGGGAGGAACTGACTGTCACACAGAACAGTGAGCTGCCATGATTGGGGTGAAGAGGGCTTTCAGGAATAAAATCTGATGCTCCAGAATGGACAGCACTGCACCTTAAGGAAGAACCTCTCAAAGATGTAGAGGTGTCATGAGCCCCTGCTCTCTGTCAGGGTTTTCCGTGCAGCCTGGTAAGATCTCTCTACAGGTCACACAGTGTATGCTGGTGTTAGCCAAGCTATTAGAAAAATTTCTGCACTCTCAAACAAACCTTCCTTGGTGGGTTGGGACCATGCGACCCTTGGGGACAACACAGTGATCTTTCAGGTGGAATGTGAGAGCTGATTGAATTGGGGGCAGTGGTCATGTGACCTTAGGGACAATGCAGCGGCCTTTCAGGCAGAATGGGAGATCTGATTGGATAAGGGGCAGAGGTCAGGTAACCCCAGCGACAGTGCAGTGGCAATTGGGTGGTTCGGTCCCGTACGGCTGGGTGAGTCCACAACCACAGGCTTCCGTGAAAGAGGTGGAACAGAAATAGAGTGAAATAAATGAGGAAGGAAGAGTTTGCATCTTCATTAGCAAACCGGAGGGGCGGTCAGCCACGATATATCACAATTATGCAAACGCACCAGTGATGAAGAAATAATTCATGCTGGGTGGCAAACCTTTGCGCACAGGGACAGGAATGGAATCCATTAGCAGGTGTTTGTTTTATAGTCTGCTGGCTGTCTGAGAAAAAGATAGAAGGTGGGGGAGGGTGTTGTTGAGCAAGATTTCTCTTGTTTAGTAGTGCAGCACAATGAAACTGAATGCTGAATTCTCAGTGGGTTTATTTTTGGTTTGTCACCTCGTTTTCTCCCAATTAATTATCAGGAATACTTGATGAAAAGCTGAAGCCTTAATTACACAGCTTTGTGATTGCTCATAAAATCATCTGATAAGTACAGATGGACATAAATAGTGCCGTCTGTGGTCAGTCTGTTCATTTCCTTAATTGTCTGTTTTTTTCTGTGGGTAAGTCTCAAGTTAGTTTGTAACAACTCATTATATTGAATTCTGATCCATTAACTAAAGATAATCTGCAAAACAATACAGCTAAAGGAAACACATTGCATATAGAGAAAGAAAGACTTTCTTCATGTTGATGGATTGTAAAATGTGTATGGAAACGAGCAAGAAAGGCAAACAGTATTTGAATGAAAATGTTCAAGAACCCTTGCCTGCTGAGCTTCAGTGGGCTGCCAGGTGTGAGTTGCAGAGTGACATGGCTGCTGGCTAGGAAGGCAGGCCTGTCTGAACAGATTGTTACTTCTGCTTTGTACTGTATATATGAAGTCAAAGCTTGCAGCCCTTGGCAGAAGATTCACCCTCACCAGGGCTCATCGATGTGACACAGGTAAAGTATGGTGACACAGGTGTTCTTTTCACTGGGTCTCGGAGTCCTCGCTTGGCACATCTGGCTCGGTGTTGTTGTTTCCCATGACTGGTCAATCGAATCCATATTTTTGATATATAGTGTTCAACAGCAACCCTATGCCTCAAGTGAACTGACCCATCACTGCCTGGGTTCTTTCAACCTTATATGTGTATCGCTATACCTTCCACCTGGTAAGGAAAACTACTGATTTTCTCTGCTGTCACAAAATTCAGCAGAGATCAATGAAAGAATGCTATCACTTAAAAAGGCGCCAGGAGAAATTATCTTCCTTTCACTTATGTTAAGTCTGAAATTATTTCAGCAAAACAACTGTCAGAAATTACTTGCATTTGGAAAAAAAATAACACTAGATTTAATTATGCAAATTTAAGGTTCATTCATTTTGTTAATATTATGGTCTTCAACTTATGTAATTCAATTGTACACATCTGTGAAATGCTTAATAAACATTTTCATTCACTGGAATTGAATTAAAAATAAATTACTCTTGTTTATAAAAGGCCGTTTTTTTGTTTTTTTTTCAGCAGACTTTATCGCAGGCCAGTGGAAGCTGGATTTCTTTTTTTTCGTATCCATTTTTTTCTTCCGTACCTTCCCAGCTTCAGAACACAGGCGCCATAAATGTTAGACATATTACAAAAATGGTGAGGGCTGCATACAACATGAGCAGGGTGCCTGATAATATGAGTCACTGTTGGAAGTATCCTCCGAACAAGCAGCAGTCACACTCCTAAATAGGACTGAGGCTGACTTCATTGAGTCATCTTCTGTGTGTCAGGACACAGTCTATATATACACACACACAGTAAGTTAAATCTGTACTTGGGGGGGGGGCAGCACTAATGGTGTCTATTCCCAAAATAACAAATAAACCCTAGTTTGAATTTCCAGCTTTCAGCTGACAGGCCCTTTTCCCAGGAAGAGATGCAGGTGCCTAGTGGCTCTTGTGCTCATATGCTTTGGAGTGTTACCAGCCACAAGCACAGCTTCCTCGCTTCCCGCGGCTGCCGGTACTTTGTCCAAACGTAGTGTGCCATGAATCGCTGGCGAGAGAGCCCTCTCCGTCTGCTGTGTAGTTGCCAGATCACTTTTTCGACGAGCCTTTTTCGTTTAACCCTTCATACGTGCGGGAGTCTTCCATGAGGAGAATTTCACCGTCTCTAGGACCTCGGGTTTTCTCCGTGTCCTTGATGCTGTACAGGAGATGAATACAGATATTCTCAAAATAAAAAAAAAAGTTTCCTTTTCATGTTGTTTAGTAGTGTGCAACATTGCGTTACGTATAGGTTTCAACTTCTGTGAAGTACAGTAACTGTTTGCTCTTTGACCTCTTCCACTAACAGCCGTTTGCTCAGATCCTTGTACTGAAGCAGATGTTTTGTGTGATTATATGATGGAAGATGGTTTCTATGTCCATAAAAAGCACTGTGGTATCCTTCGGGATTGAAAGCATTAGATAAATGCAAAGAATTTCTGTAATTATCATTCTAAACCCGGATGGTGTACTGAAAGCATTATTTATCCAAAGTGATGAAGCAGCAGCGCTGCGGGGATTGAGCCTCTTCCTCATTAACATGTCATGAATATGAACACATTATACATTGTCTGGGAGCTATTTAAGTTTGGAAGCAGTGTTGTACTGTATATAACCTATTCCGTGTTGTGTCTTTTAGCTGAAGTGTGGAGAACTGTGAGGAATGGAAAATAGATCATGCTTCTTGTTACACTGTATTCCAGTAAGATAACATTGACAGAAGACAGAAGGACTAAAATAATTGTGAATCAAGACTTATGAAGTTGTGAAAAAAGAATGCTTGAGAATCACTCCCAAGTTCTAATTAAAAAAGGAAAGCCTTGGTCAGAAAAATCTTTTTTTCTGAATAAAAGAAAAGAAATTGAGAGGCAAGGCTCTCCCAGAACTCTTGGTGGTGCTTTACCATGTTTTTGTGTTCTTCTTTGTCAGTACAAACGACTCCTACATCTTATTGCCAAGGTCGTAAGAACATATCGGTTAATGACAACGTCGTGCTTATGCTATCATTCTGTTTATCAGTAGTCAATGCAGTGCATGCAGTTTGAGTTCTGAAGAGTCTAGTGTCTATACCATATGCTGTATATCTTGTAAGTATACAACATTAAACAAAATGGATTCTTAAGACCACTGAGGCATTATTTCCTGTACATAACATCGCCAATAACATGATTTTCCAGGACTGATGTGTAAGTGTACCTGTGAAATACACTTTGTCTAATACTTTTTGACACTTTAGAAGAGATTGGAGTGACATGGCTATGCCCATGAATAGCATATAATGCCAAATCACTTCTGCCAAATATTAATTATGCCACTGTTTGGGAAGTGTGCAAAGTACATTTCATTAACTATTTGACTGCTGGGATAGGATACTATGTTTTTGGTGTTGTTATCTGATAAAATGTCTTTTGTAGTTGAACTCCAATACTATTTGTATCTGAATGGTATAAAATGTAAGAAGGCTTTGTTCAGTTTGCTTATATAGTTTAAAACATTTCAAAACATAGTGTCTGCTATTTTATATGACAATGTGACTCAGATTGCAAGCTTTTGTTAGCTCCAAACTTAGTTGCTTATCATTGCTGAACATTTCCAGCTGCATTTCACATCTACTGTAGGGATGTACAATGCAAAGATAGGTAAATTCACATTAAAGATGTTCGAGTGGGTACAGTACCTGCATCAGCATGAATGGGCTGCAAAGGACGAGGTAAAGGTTCATTCCATGTTGAAAGGAAAAACAAAAGAAACAGAACTTTTTTTTCTACTTTGGAGCCCTAACCTGTTCAGTTCAGGACAATCGTGTTCTCGAAATCTTTTAATGATGGTAAAGTTTGCTTGAATGATGACCATGTACAGTACATTATCCCGCATGCACTGAAATTACAGTATGCAAGAATTCTTTGGAATTTTTATTGCTACCTACGGGGAAATAACTATTTGACATTCTCTGATTTACACTGTATTTCATGCAATTATTGCTGCTCAGTAATGGGGTCTTCTGCCTGTGTATTGCATTGGAGCAGCACGACACTTACAGAGCCATGTCTGTGAAATATGCTGAGGCAAGCAGAGATCCATTGCTGAAATGATGTATTTATATGACAGTGCAATAACTCCTTCATCAAGTCAGTGGGCATTGAGTACAGCATCTGTCTGTATTTCCAAATTCTGGCGACTTATTTTCGAGTGCTTTTGCATCATCATCATCATCATCATCGCAAAAAAGCTAGTTAAAAGTAGAACATTGAATAGTCAATAAAAGTCAATAAAAATATACATTCTCAGTTCCAAAAGCAGCCAGACATATGGCAGTGTATAAATTGAATGTATAAATGTCAGATGCACTGAAACAGCCCATTTGTAGCCCTGGGGTGTCCAAATGAGCCTACATTTGTGGGCTGAGGGCTGTGTTGCTGGGTTATTGTTTCAGAGAAAGTAAACCTGAAAATCTGCCGTGATCAGCTGAAAGGGCCTTGTTTCTGCCAGGGATCTACTGAGCTCAAGCCAGTGCACATGTGACGATGGCAGCGCTCCGTGGTACAATCCCGGTCACTTGCAGGGCCAAGATGTTGACGGTGCCACTGCCTACAGTAGACAGCGCATAGCTCCGCCACGCCAAGAGGCCACAGCAGAGCTCTGCTGTCTCAAGTACAGAGAGGAGTGAAGTCCCATCTCTAACTCGCATTGGAACTACTGTACCTATTGCATGCTCCAGTCCACAAGCCCAAGGACAGATTACCAACTGTGCAGAAAAACTGAATGTGAGAAAACTAGTCAACCCAATCTGCCAAACAAAATCGGGAACAGAGTCCAAGCCTTTGCCATGAAGATGCAGGTTCATTAATTGTTCAACTCGTCTTTTGTTCCCTCGTGTTGCTGTAAATGCGAACTGGTATGTGATATGTCAGATCTCATTTCCTGTCTGTCTCGTTCGCGCAGGTGGGCGAAAGGTGGCAGTGTGATCAAGGAGGTCACGGGTGACGTGTATGAGGTCATCGTGGACCACTCGTTTTTCACCGAGCCCGTGTCCTGCGAGGTCACCAACCCTCTGGGCAGCACCAACATCAGCCGAAACGTGGACGTTTACTGTGAGTAAATCTCCCTGCAGTCTCTGCCAGGCTTCAGAGAAAGGCTCCACAATGAATCCAGTTCTGAAAACACAGGAGTGTGTAAACTTCGTGTCACTTGCTCAGTTCTGTAATGGTGATGAACTTGCAGCAGGAGAAAATAAAAGCTGAAATTTCTCTCCGTTGCAGAATCTTTTTGGATCTGTACGAAAAGAAAGATTGTAATAAATGGAAGTCATCATATCATTTCACATCTCAGGCCTTGTGAGATGTTTTTTCTTTAAATTCACATGCATGTGACAAGGGAAGAGTTTGGCTGCTCTAGACTGGTCATCTTACAGTCTCGTGTACATTAATAATGTTTCACTGAACAGTTTTAATGCAGTGAAATGGAAAATGTTGCTGTTAGGTAGCAACTGCAAAGAAAACCATCCTTAAACTCTGGACTGACCGTGTTATGGGCACTTTATGTGGCTGTCTTGTTAAGGTTAGGGACATAGTCTGGACAGATCCACTTCCATTTTGCAGGGTGCAGACGTAGAGGTGCATTAGAGGTGTGGGATCTGGCCTCAGCTTACCTGGCCAAGTGTCCGCTATAGTGACCAATTCATCAGCAGAGATTTTAGCACTTTATATATCTTAGTTCTGGTCTGTCAGTTTCTTTCCTATTTTTTTTTCCCTCCTTCAAAAAAGAAAACCCCAGCATTTACAAATCCTGTGAGACGTTTCCTGTAAATGACAGTGTGCATTTTTTCGTGACGTGTTTACGCCTGTGCTAAGTGGAATCGACTTTCTCCCCCCTGCCCCCCCCGCCCGGCACGCTCTGTTTGCTAGTTGGCCCCCGGATGGCCGCAGAGCCGCAGTCCCTGCTGGTGGATCTGGGGTCCGACGCCGTCTTCAACTGCGCCTGGACCGGCAACCCCTCCCTCACCATCGTGTGGATGAAGAGAGGCTCTGGAGTGGTGCGTACCCGCGAGCAAAACTGGGCCCTTTGTCCCGTGCCCCCTGTAAACTGGTGCTGCCCCTTCGCTGTAAAGCCCTGCTAGCCTGGGGATCTAGCCCCTTCAGCCATCTTGTCTTGAACTACCACAACGTTGATCTTCCAGTGCAGATAGATCGTCGAGGTGGTAGTGATCTTGATGACATTTCCAGATTGAATGAAGTACCCTCGCGTTTGACTTGTTCACTTTAATTGCTCAGTCACAGTTACTAATTGGCTTTTTTTAAGGTTAATTGTAGCCGTTTTCCACACATCATTGATGCCTGGCTCATAACAAGGCTGTTTCTCCATATGTAATACTGTATGTAAATTACTGTAGGTTGGAACAGTTGCTCTCAAACTGCATCTCCAAATGCAGCATAGAGTAATAAAACACGCTGCTCTTGCAGGATGGCAGTATAATTGTCAGTCTTAACACTCGGGACACTTTTAAGTTACTTACCTTAATTGGAAGTGATCTTTATAGAAAAGCCTACATTTATATCTACAGCTTAGTTTTCAGCAAGCGCTGCAAGAGGCCTTCTCTTGGCAGAAGTCAAAGATAGTACCATGTAAGAGAGGAGAAAAGTAATTATTTTGAATAATTCTATATCCAGATTATGCACATGTATATTGTAAGTGTTAAACGAGAATAACATTTAAGCAGTTGAAAGGGAAAAAAAATTGGGGTCACGCACCCCCAAAATCCTATTAATACCAGCGGCGCTGGTTTTGCAGGTCTTACGAGGCACCAGCAGCTGCAAGCCCGATACGTGAAAGAAATGCAATCTGCTTAAGGCGAGAGGACTCGTGCGCTGGCTAGGAATGAGCTGCAGATTCTCAATCATGTCTTAATTCTGTCCGGCAGTTCCTCATCTGAAAACATGTTTTTGAATCAGAGGTGTCACTTTCTGCAGAGCTCCCCCTAAATTGGATTTTAATATTTAATAAAGAGTTCACAGTGGCACAACGGGCCTTGTGTCAATAGGCAGTGTGTCCCGGCTGCCCTTTGCCATAACCTCCTCCACTTGCATCCCTGCAGGTGCTGAGCAACGAGAACATCCTGACGCTGAAGGCGGTGAGGCAGGAGGATGCTGGGAAGTACGTCTGCCGCGCCGTGGTCCCCCGGGTCGGCGCCGACGAGAAGGAGGTGTCGCTCACCGTGAACGGTAAGCCGCCCTCACCCGCTGCTGCTCAAGGGGCAGAGCTGTGGCGACTGGCGTGCAAAATACTTTGAAATACTGATTTCAAGCGTCTGGTGAACTGCTCGGCTGTGCCACACTGCCTCCGTGTTTGACTGAGGCGACCAGTGGGGAAACTCGGGGCTCTGGACCCGTAACGGGGAGGCCGTGGGTCCAAATCCGGGGAAAATACCGCTCTGTATAAACGGGTGCAAATTTAAGTCACTTTGGATAAGAAAATAAGAAAAAAATAAGGTCTCTCACCTTCTCAGCTCTTTCCGTAATCCCCGTTTTAAGCCACAGCTTCATTTTAGAACATTGATTTTAAGGAGGACGCAGTGCATTATAAGGTTCAATGTGAAATAGATTTTTTTTTTTAATCAAAGGATTTTGGATGTTTCTACTGTAGCTACTTCAGACTTTAAAACAGTCTAACTTTCATGTACTAAAGCTTTGGTCGTCTTGGAAATAATGGAAATAATTATGGAATGGAAATAAAATGTCAGCATTTGCTTAAATACAGATCAGATCATGGTTATGTTTGGTCCTATTTGCTTCTGTGTAGTACAGCTACTGTTTCCTTTACTGGAAACACGTACAAAACAAAGTAGAACAGTTTGGATTTCATGTTGGTGTTCAGTCATCTATTTGAAGTGTCATGTTCTATTGCTTTTGTCTAAAATGCTGAAAGAAACAAGGATACTGTAAAATGTATCTGTATATGCAAAAGAATAGCATAAATTGATAACGTTACATAAAAAACAGGCACTTTAAAGCTCAGTATTTCGGTATTTCAAGAAATCTGTGTTAAATACAAGACATTGTATACAATACTTATTTAAATTGCAAAGAATTCAGAAGTAGTAGAGGCACAGGCAATGACTGACTAATGAATGTGCAGAAATTCTATGAAATCAGCAGTTTCAGACAAACCTCTTCATTATGATTGCTTGATATTAAGAATTATAATCGCAATGGCTTTCAATCTGGAATACATTAATCTGTAAAGTGTCTCTTTATCTTTCAGTCTATTTAAAGTGTGCTAAAGGAGTGTGTCAATGTGAATTATTGGCTACACTATTAAAAGAAATGTCACTGAATAATGACCAAGGCAAATTCAAAACCTAAATCTAGTCTTGTGGCATTTGTGCTGTCTCAGAACTTGCCATCCTTATCTCCTTATATTCCCAGATTCTCCAAAAGCTCACCGACATGAAAACGCTTCACATGGCATTTCTGCATGAGGCTGTCCTCTGTTTCTTGAACATTTAAATGGAGTCAGATTTCAGTGAAGGGTTGGTTATGTGTGTGGCCGTGTCTCAGAGTTCTGCTATAAAGAATTCTTGGGCCTGTTCTGTCTTTTAACCATTAAGCACAATTTCATTAAAAAAAAACAACAACTTGTTTTTGTAACATTTGAGAGTTTTGTAACATTATGCAAATGAGGTATTTCCAGGGGGTTTTAACAACCTCTCTGTAGTGGTTAAAACTAATGTGTGAAGAGAAAAGACAAAGAAGAAATGCTTTCCAGTGACGGCCTTTCCGCCTGTCAGTGGATGAGCAGCTCTCAGCTCTCTGCAGACCCAACGCGATCAGGAGGTCTGGGAGCCCGTCTCTGTAGGAGCCGCCCTCTCTGCTAGTGCAGGGCCCTGGGTGGTCCTGAAGGATCCCAGAACAGCTTGCCGTTTCTGACTGACGACTAGACCTTCATTCTGAGCGCCAGCACGGCGTTAGAATGGTTTACTTTCCTCTCTGTCTTTTTCCCCAGCACATGGCACCAGTCTCCACGGTGTACCAGCACAGATTAGAGACTCACAGCGTTCCCCAGGGAGGGCCGTAATTTAATTAAAATTAAATAGCTAGCAGGAAGAGCAGTTTATGTAGAAACCACTAATGGATACATATTGCTTTGTTTTGGTTTGTATGCATTCCTTATGTGTGCTGAGAAATCAGATGCAATTTGTCAAGCAGCCCGGGGAGATAGGAGTGCGATAATGGCCAGAAAGTTGCTCCTATGCCATCAGAAACCCCATAGGGTTCATCATTTATCTTTTTAGGATAGCAGTGTAGACAATGCCCTTGATTTTGGCATAAATATGCAACTTTGTTTTCACCAGCAAAGCCAAACAGTTAGATCATTTCTGGGAGATGCATTGTGGGAAAAACAGGTTGTGATGGCCACATAATGGAATAACCCAGCTCAGAAATACCATTCAACTATAGGAAAACTGATAAATAGCGATCACATAGCCGTTGTTTTTTATTGTGAATGAAGTTCTGTAACAAACAGAAGTTATTTTTTAAACAATTCTTAAATGTATTTCTCTCACTTCAGTTTGTTTTTTCAAAACAAAGTACCGCAAGCCTGCTGCTAGGCACAGTAAAAAATCATAGTTAAAGCCTGGATGGGTGTATTACTGCAAGTGTAAAAAAAAAAAAAAAAACAGGAATACACATGACCCACGGTCCAGTCTTTGCGGTAATATCTGCTGCTAGAGTAGAAGACACGGTCCTGGGTTTTCCGTGGTCCTAGGTTGGGCTCTCGTCTCTTTTCATGGCCTGCGTGTGTGCAGTTTGCGTTTCCTCTCTGCGGTTGTGTCCATGTCCTCCAGCCTGCCGAGGATGTACAGGGTGGGATAGATTGTCCCTCGCAAGATCTGATCCCTGGTCCCCGACCTCCTCCCCTCTTTCCCTGGCCTTGTCCAGAGTGGCTCCGGTGCCTCCGGTGTCGTGTCCGAGTGGCGTTAACAGACGGGGACCAGGCCGATGTCAACTCATTAAAAGTGGGGCTTGCCTCCACCATTTGCAGATCTGCACCAGACAGCTGCTGCAGTATGCCGAGCTCCCAGTGGCTCTTGCGATTTTCCTTGAGAACTGCAAATGAAGCTAATCGAAAGGGAAAAGTAGCAAGCGCACACAGCCCCTTCATCATGTTTCCCCTGCGTGTAACAGAAAGTTATCAAGGGTTTCTATGGAGGGAAATTGCTCCACATACAGCCAGGACGATAAAACCATCTAATTAAAATTCCTCGTTTGCTGCTGTGATCTGGAGTGAGATTTGTTTCGGGGGGCCTTGCGTTTACCTTGCCACCCCGGGGGAGATTCATCGGAATAAATTTGCCGAAGAAACCCTCGAAAAGCCCTCGTTCCCTCTGCCTATCGAAGGTTGAGAAGCCCCGCATGTCGAGAGCGGAGAGATGGGTTACAACATGACTAATTTGCGCCACGCCACATTTGTATGCAGTGAGCCTTGCACCAGGTCGGCCTTTGGTCTCGGTACATGTCCTGGTAGTCACACACGGAGACACCGGCTGTCAGATTCTCATTAAAATGCAAATTTATTTTAATTAGAGACTGCTAATAAACTGCAATTATGAGTGGTTAGAGAGATGGGGAGGGGGGTGCGAGCTCAGCCAGGCCTTCCCCGGTTTCCTTCATGCTCTACTGTGGGTCATAAGTGCCCCTCAGCCGTCACAGTTTGGACCCCAGTGGGGTGTCGGGCCCGGCAAAGAGAACATGGAGGCGCTTGTGTTCCTGGACGTGGCCGGCTGAGTGAGCGAGCTGGTCAGTGCTTAGACCGCGGTAGGTTTGGCGCTGCAGACAGGACTGACGGGCTGCGCAGTCGGGGGTCGCCGTGCAAGAGCGACCGAGCGACAGCGGGGGAGAAGTGAGGTTCACAGAGGTTTTTTCCTTCCATACTATCAAATGCTTTTCTTTTATTTTTCTTCTCTGCTCCCCCCCCCACCCACTACGACGGAAGCAGTGATGGAAAGCTAGCCTGCGCCCCGACAACGATGCTGTCTTAATCGATTCCCGAAGGCGGCTGGGCAAGGCGTCCATGCTTGTTTGCAGCGTCTGAACGTGAGCGTGTGTGCGTGCGTGCGGAGGGTCCTGTCTGTCTTTACAAGAGCGGGCTCACGAGCAGTACAAACAAGCCTCCACACCTGATGGACTGAGCCCGGGTGGGGGTATTTCCTGGTGCGCTCTCGGAGGTGAAGGCCGGCCGTGAGAGCGCGGCGCGGGTGTGCCCAGCGACGCCGGTGCTGATGCCCAGCTCTTCCTGTTGCAGGCCCGCCCATCATCTCCAGCACCCAGACCCAGCACGCGCTGCACGGAGAGAAGGGCCAGATCAAGTGCTTCATCCGCAGCACGCCGCCTCCCGACAGAATAGTGAGTCTCCCCGAGCCATCGCCTTTCCAGGGCCCCAGCTTCGCCTTTGATGACCCGTTATTGTTGTTATTGTCGGCATTCTTAATAATCCACTTGTTTTGTTTTGTTTTTTTTTCCTGCTGCAACCTTCTTTTTAAATACAGGCACAGATACTAATGTTGCTTATGTTTCTTTCGCCTGACTGTTCGTAAGACAAATGCAAAAATTAAAATGAATTCCCACTGGTTTATATTCGAATCCCTCCCATTGGTTTATGAATTCCAGAAAAATAGCTCAATCATTTTCAAACTTATCAGCCTTACAGTGAAAATGGTATTATTATTTATAATTCACCAAGGTTAATTCATTGTTATTGTTTCAATACGTTAAATGATGTTTACATTCCACAGTAGCAGTGGGATTTAAAGTAGTTTAAAAAGCGACTGAACAAATAGTTCAGGTGACCTTTTTCTTCAATGAAACCTTGATTGATGATGTAAAATGCAATGAAGTGTATTCCTTTGCCTACAACAGGATGGTCAAAAGTGAAAGAATTTGTTACAGTGAAAACATATTTTTTGAAAAATGGGTATAGATTTGCACGCTTCTTTGTAGAGAAAATTGTGAAATTGGTTTTTACAGGATCAAGCTATGCCTGTACATAAACATACTGGATGTTATATACTGTATGTAAAATAATTGAATTGTGGCTCCCTTCTAATTTTGTTGGAGCACTCAAGGTAGAATACAGTATCTATCATCTTGGATTTGAGATTTGAGTCAAGAGACCAGCTCCCCAGTGCTCTTCACCTGTATACATATCCCATCATAACGTTCTGGGACTCATGCTGTTTTTTTAGCATTACAGCATTGCCTGCAGAAACGTTTTCTACTACATCATGCAAATACAAGGACAAAAGGAGATCCCAAGGCTTTAATTGGAATCGTTTCTCAATTACAGAGTGAAGAAAATAAATATTTAACCACGTTGCTGATTATTTTCTGGTGTACAGAGTACAGGTGTATTGTTATAGGCATAAATTGTAAAATTGCAACAGAAACAGGGATTTCATTTGAAAAATGAGTGCATTTTCACAAATGCTTTGCCAGGGATTTGGAAAAACGGTATATTTCGGACCTCATGGAAAGCCACACGAATTCCCTGTGGTTTAGAGTTGTGGAGGTGATGGTGTTTGAGGTGTGCCCGTATCCAGACTACTAATGGCAGTATCGCTGATTACCTGAGGCGCACCTAAATGAAGACTTAGATAAGCTTGGTACATCTCCAGTTTCTTTTTGATTAGCGTATTTTCTCTATTTAATTTTCCACCTTTAACTACCTGTCACAATGAAGGCATTCAGAGCTGTAATGCTCACAAAGGGAAAAATATTTTCAGTCGTGAACATGAATATATTAACAAATAAGAAATGTACGTGTACGATGAGAAAGAATATACAGTATACACTGTGTATACTGTAAGTAAAGCAAAACGTTTTGTGTTTTAAAGGCAGAGCAAAAATACAATCTGAAAATCAAAGTAGTCTAGCCTTGTGCTGTCTCACAGGATTTGTTCAACACTAGAGTGCACATTACATCTGCGGTGCGCGATTTTCTTTGGTTCCTTGGTTACTACCGTTAGAACGTTTGGGGATTCTCAACCCGTCCTTGTAATGGCCTCCATGCTCCCTCTCAGGCCTGGTCCTGGAAGGAGAACGTGCTAGAGTCAGGCACATCCGGCCGCTACACGGTGGAGACGGTCAGTACTGAGGAAGGGGTCATCTCCACACTGACCATCAGCAACATCGTCCGGGCGGACTTCCAGACCATCTACAACTGCACCGCCTGGAACAGCTTCGGCTCTGACACCGAAATCATTAGACTCAAGGAACAAGGTGGGAGCCAAGGTTCGAGAACTCTACTTCTCTTTACACCTGGGGAGAGCTGTCCGCTGCAGGGATGTGGGTGACCTCCAGTAATATACTGGACACAAAAAGGCAGTGCTTTCATGTGAAAAATGCCACAAAATTAGAAATAATAGATATTTGAGACCCAGAGTCGCCAACCCTGGTCCGGGAGAGCCCCAGTTCCTGAACGCCTGGAACACCTTTATTGTGATCCAATGAAGTCACACAGGTGATGTGTTCTGTCAGAGATAGTTTCATTTGGTAATTTAGATCATTGTGAGGTAATGAGATCGTTTAAAAAAAAAAAATCAAACCATTCCTCAGCCCTTAAGAACCACTGTTTCTTTCATTGAAATCTTAATTGAGCAATTGCTGAACAAGTGTTATTGTACTCTGGCATAACAATGACTGGGTTGAGTTCCTCCTGATTTAAGCTATATTGTAGCCAAAATGTTTACTACAGGGACTATTAGAGGTATTGTGTTTTCAAGCTATATCTGTACATGTATTTTGCACCTGTGAAGTGTGATGCCCCGGGGTGTGTGATTGTAGAAGGCGCTGTTTTCTCCACAGAGTCGCTCCCCATGGCGGTCATCATTGGCGTCGCGGTCGGGGCGTTCGTCGCCTTCATTGTTCTCATGGCGACCATTGGCGCTTTCTGCTGCACCCGCTCCCAGAGGAGTAAGTGTTGTTGGCCAATTTCCTTGAATAAAAACACACGCTTCTCATTTTTATGTTTTCGGAATTATATGGTGCTTCGGCTATAAGTGCATGTGCCTTTTGTCTTAAATCTGTTAAGCAAAGGATATTTAATGCACAAAATGTATTCATGCGTAACACTGCTGGTGATTTGTTTGTTTGTTTCGTTCCTTCCATATGCCTAAAGCCTTAAAGTAGAAACCCCCTTATATCAATGGGGTCCGGATCAATAATGCTGTGCGAGTGCCTCCTGGCCCTGAAACCCTGCAAAAAAGGTTCAAGCAAACCTTTGACTGATCTTCTAGTGAGTTTCAGAAATTTGTCAGTAGGTGACACTTCCAGATGTAAGTTCAAGTACTAAGAAAGACATAACTTTAAAGTTCTTCAGGAATGCGCACACTAAAATTGGGGCCCTGGGATCTTCAGTTGCAATTCAGAGACACCATTGGTTCTTCTGAGGTTTTGCAAGAGCTGCCCTTAAATAAAAAAAATATGTTTTCCTCAGTCACGCAATGCGCACAGTCAACACTCAGTGGTCTGACTACACCAGAATTAGCTCTGTTCAGATGCAGTTCTCTTTTTAAGGATCACATAACCAGTAGATGCAGTATCGGTAATAATTGGCGACTTACTGTAGGTATGATTTTATATTTAATCACACAGTATTCGAATTTTGATTATTTTTGTTTAATGGAGTCTTTCAATTCGAAAATTTTGTAAAGCCCTGCTCTGGATAAGACAGGGCATTGTGGGAAGACAAAATGGTGTCGTAGGTACAGTAGTTAAATATACTGTATGTTCCTGTTCTTTTCAGACCTGAAAGGTGTGGTTTCTGCAAAGAATGACATCCGGGTAGAAATTGTGCACAAAGACCACAGCGCCGCTCGGGAGACAGAGGAGCACGCAGCCATCAAACAGCTCATGGTACGTGTTTTCCTGCCTCATGCACCTTGACGCTGGGATGACTCCCAGATCATTCTCCGTGCTTCAAATGTCATTGAATGAGGAGTTAAACATCTTAATATAATTTATGCAAATTATTTGTACTGCATATACTACTGCTAATAATAATCTCCACTTGGATCGTCCCTATGAATAATGCACAGCGCTCTGGAATATCAGGGTTTGTTTGAGTACGGCACCAGCTATATTTAGCAATCAAGCTGATTTTCCTGGGAGGATCAGAGCCAGCCATGTGTAGCCTTGGTGATCTGATGATATCTTAACGGATCATAATCCAAGGGGGTATGGCTGCAGGCGAAGATGGGAACCTGTCAGATTCGCATCCGCTGACGTTTGGAAAGGGAAACGGAGGTGACACTCTGATAATAGCAGAGGGCTGTGGCGTTCGGTGCCACAGGGGGCTCTTCCGCACACGTGTGATGGTTCGTCAGTGTGCCGTCCCTTTGCCAGGAAATTGAGTCATTGAAATGCCCGTTTTAAAATCACACGTATTCATACATCGGGAAACCTGTAATTAAGGAAGTGCTTGCGAGGTATCGTTGTACCATACACTGAGCCCGCAAAAATGCCTCTCGGCGGACCTCTGCTGTGAGTGCTGGCCCAGATTTGCTCTTAGATCCGGACACGATGCTATTCCAGGTGCGAAGATGATGGTTTCCTCTCTGTAATCCCACTGCCATTGTGATTTGCGCCTCTCCAGGCCACATCATAGCCAGTAAAGCAGTGCGATACGCACGAGACGCATGTTTTCTGCTAGTCCAGAAAGTATTTCATGTTTCTTAAATTGTATGGACGATTCCAACACCCCCCCCCCGCCCCCCCCTTCTCCCCAGATCGAGAGAGGAGAGTTCCAGCAGGAGTCAGTCCTGAAGCAACTGGAGGTCCTGCAGGAGGAGGAGAAGGAGTACCAGCACATCAAGGTGAGTGCTGGGGCTGAGGAAACCGCACACGCTGGGTACTCTAGACCCCCTTGACCCGCCGTGTTCAAACAAAAGAGTTTTTTAAATCGCTTGCCCTCACGGTAACTTCTCCAGAACGAGAGCCCTCTATACATCACAGATCACACTGGCAGCAGACATTCTTTTTCACAGAGTGCAATGCCCCATTTTCCCAATGACCCTTTTTTTCCCCGTTTGTTACAGTAGTTCGCTACGGAAATAGCAGTTTTTGGACCAAAGAAAAAAAAAAGTCGAATGGTTTTACCCGTCTCGGAGAGTGGAAGTCACGCAGGTCCCATGCTCTCCAGGACTTACTGGGGTTTTGATAGAAAATCGAGTCCGTTGCGCCAGCCCGCTGCGTGTTTCCACACCACTTGACACATCCATCTCCTCACCCTGTTTGTTTTTTCTCTTTAATGAGAGGATTGATGAAAATCAGAGTGAATCAGAACTGTGAAAATGATAATTGATGTCATGTTGAATTGGGAAGTAGTTAATGGAGTTCCTTTCTGGTTAGGAAAATGGCATATAATTTATTGCAATATTCATTATTTACACCTCAGTAAAGCACAGTTTAAATATTTTTTTCTCTTTTTAAATAAAGTTTCTGCAATTAAGGAGCTTAAAACAGAGATAGAAATGCACAGAGCTGATCTATTCAACCAAAACCAATAATTTCCCATTCATGTCCTTAATTGCTTTTCCTATACTTTCGGTGATCACTCACTCAGCTATGCAAAACACTTGCAGTGACTCAGCTATGAAGTGAAAAGTAAGTGCAGAGGATTTCCTGTCAGGCAGTTAAGTCTTTGAAGATCTGCGTGACACCATGCCAGTGTTCATCCTGCATGGGAGGATTTTGAACAGAGCAAGAAATCAAGCAGGTCCAAATAAAGGATGTTGGGCCCTAAACCCGACTAACAAACATATTCAAAAGGTCTTGTAACAGGATTACATGTAATTAGACTTCATAGGAGGATTACAAGTGTTGTAAAAAACGTACAAGACAACCAACACTCAACTCTGATACAGGCTCTTTCAAAGCATTTCTAATTCAAAAAGCACTCAGTTTTACTTTTTACGACCTTTTATTATAAATTACCTTTGGAAAAATTATAAATTGGTAATTGCTTTAGACTCAGTAATTGATAAAAGGCTGCAGCGCAGAGTAGTGCCGCAGATTCTGGACTCCAGCCCAGAGGGTTGCAGGTTCAGCCCCTGGCTGTGTCACACGTCACCCTTAAAGAAATGCTCTAATAAATACCATGCTGGAAAAATGGGTCTGGACATTGTCTGTTTTACAATGAGAAAGTGTTTTCATTAGGCTAATGTGGTTTACATGCTACAAAATGCCACAATACATATTAAGGCTAAGATGTCTTCTGATTTAGAAATATTGTAGCATCAGCACTGGGATGGTAAAAAAAGGGGCAAAACTCACAAAAGCCCTGATTTACTCATACAGTAGGTCATCCTACTTCAAAAGACAGGCACATTTTCAGTGAATTAAGCAAGTATTCTGATAAAAACAACATAAAAAACATTTGTTTAGGTCCCTGAATGGCTGAAAGATCATCAAGATTTTGATCCTAAGCAACTGCCAAAATACTCAATTTAATGAATCACCTGTTTGATCAATCACAGTGAAATTCTCTTTGTTAATTGGTAATTTCATGGTGATTTATAAAATGTGCTGGATTGCGTCTTCCCAGGAGTGGGCCAGAAGCTCCTGCTGCTTTGAATGTACTTTTGAAAAAGTACTGAAAAGTACTTTTCAAGCTCCGTCTATTTATGTTGTTTTTACCCTTCACTGGTGTCATCTGATGCTGATGTACGACTATGGCTTTCTGCCATTTTCTGTGGCTGTCACATAATTTTAGAAAATCTATTTTTTTTAAATACTCTAAAGGTTCACTGGTTCAACCCGGGATTGCGGATTTGTAATTGTTCGGGTTGGTTTTGTCACGACAGCCAAGCTTTCAAAGCTGCACGCATCCCCTACTTCAAGATCAATCAGTGCCCCACAGTGATTGATGCACGGTGGTGTTTTCTGGGACTGGCAGGGAGACGGCGTATGTGAAATAAGTGCTCAGATTCAGTATGAGGTCTCTTTAACTAAAAGAACCCCCTGGTTTTCAGGTATGTTAATACCTCAATTAAATGAGTGAAGAAGTTGATAAAGTTTGGGTTGCCTGCATCGTGGAGAACTTGTTACATTGCTTAACTCCTTTGCATTCTGGAAAAAAAAAACAGAAGACCAAAAGACTTTCTCATTCTCATCTTAAAAAAAAAAACAAAGAATTTTACAGTTGACAAAACTATTCTTCTTGTCAGTTTTTTTTTCTTTTGCACTTTAAAGTAAAAAAAAAAAGGCAATGAAGTGTGTTGAAGGGAATTGGAACCGAAACGGTGATCCTGCGTCTGCGTTGTCTTTCTTCTCCTCCTCCCGGTGTCTGCTTTCATCCCCTGGTTTTGATTTTGCTGACGATGCGCACCGCTGCTTTTTATAATATCGTTTTCTGTTTTGATCCCCCCTGAACTTTGCATCCTTATCCCGAGTCTCTCCATGCGCCTCCTGCTTCCTAACATGCTTTCATGTGCTCCATAATTTGTGAAGTATCAGCGGGAATAATGATAGTTTTTTTAGCTTGTCATAGTTATGTCAACTTTCAGTGATTAACATCACACCCCCGAGATCCTAGAGCACGAATGACATCTATCTCTTTTATAGCTGTTCCTTGGTAGACTGCTTTGTAGCAACAATGAGCAATATCACCAGACACAGACCACAGCAGGCTTGACAAGGGAATCATTTTTTGTGTACTGTGCGCACGTGCAGAGCAAAGGATCTGTGAAACAAACACCCTCCGAACTGCAAACTGATTTCTTTTTTTATGAGAATACTGCACAAAATGGGTCACCCAGAAAATCAGCTGCACAACTTCTGGGATTTTGAAAATAAACACATTTGAAGAAATAGTGAACTTTTGGGATTTGTTCACTTACTGTATATTGTGCTTAGTTCTGAATTGTCAAGGCTTTGTCTAATTAGCTGATAACAGGATTCCTAGGTTTATGTGCGGGATGAATGTCTCACACTGTTAAGCCGTTTAATTCCTGTTTTGCTTGGAGCCTGAAGCTCTTGTCTCTTTATTTACTTGGCTTCCTGGCTTTAATTAATGCCAGTTTGACCTTGACGTGGTTTAAGTTATCCAAAGCATAATATAAATCGGAAATGTGTTGTTTTCTCATGCACAGAGAAACATTTGAAGCACCTCCCCTAAACGCTGGTACTATACTGGAACAGGCAAATCCCCCAAATCCTTTAGAACTCGACAACGAAAGTTCAGTCGATTACAGCAAATCTATACGTGTTATTAAGCTTAAACAATATCTAACCAATATGTATAAACTCGAGTTTGTGGAACATGAGCATCTTCGTAGTTTGTAGACTGCTTTTTCCATTTTATTAGGTGATTCTGCTTGTTTGTGATGTGGTTGGTTTGGGTGCTTGTTCATGCTTGAGCCTGCTTGTTCCGGACAGAGGGGTAACACGCGAAAGATTCTCGAAATCTTCGTAGAAAAGGTTTTACCACGTGGAAACAGCTTTGTAAACCAGTCCACCTGTCCCCTTATGAAAATCATCCTGGACCAAAGTGTACATTATTGAAACCTCTGTCTTGTTTTTTTTTTGTTTTGTTTTTTGTTTGTAAAACTGAAAGGACCCCACCAATGGGTACTACAGCGTCAACACGTTTAAAGAGCACCACTCCACCCCCACCATCTCGCTGGCGGGCACCCAGACCACCGAGCTGCGCAGCACCACCACTGCCACCATGGGCAAGCAGCGCGTGCCCACGGGCATGTCCTTCACCAACATCTACACCACGCTGGGCGCCGGGCCCAACCGCCTCTACGACTACAGCCAGCGCTTCGTGCTGGGCATGGGCAGCAGCTCCATCGAGCTGTGCGAGCGCGAGTTCCAGCGCAGCTCCATGAGCGACTCCAGCTCCTTCCTGGACACGCAGTGCGACAGCAGCGTCAGCAGCTACAGCAAGCAGGACGGCTACGTGCAGTTCGACAAGGCCAGCAAGGCCTCCGCCTCCTCGTCCTCCCACTACTCCCAGTCCTCCTCCCAGAACTCCGACCTCACGCGGCCCCTGCAGAAACGCATGCAGACCCACGTTTAACCTCCGGGGGGGGGGCGCTGGAGAGGAGGGGGGGCAGGGGGAGGGATGGTGGCAGGGTGTAGGTTCACCCCTTGGGGAAAGCAAAAACCCCAGGGGTGCAATGGATGGGGGAAACTTCTTAAGAGCACATTTTTTTTAAAAAAAGGATCTTTTTATAGTTTACTTACGTTAAGGAGAGGCGTCTGAGCCCTGAAGATCTGGAAATCCGGGCTTGTGTCAGCGGAGCGAGCTGGGATGGCCTGAACGGCCTCCCCTCGTTCGCAAGCCTTCCTGTGTCCTCGTACCCGATTCCCAGCCCAGTCCGTCCCCGGCGAGAGCTCTACCTCCTCGTGCTTCTGAGCAGCCAGTGAGGTGCGCGCTGCAGTCCCGCGGCCCGCGGAAAACGTCTCGGGCGGCTTCCCCCAAGCCTCAGCTCACCTTCGCTGGGAACGGCAAGTGCCGAGTGTCTGCTAGGAGTGTTCAGCATGACAGCTGCTGGAGAGCATTAGCGGGTCTGCAATTTTACCCCAACTGGGCGTGCGAAGGAATAATCCCAGGATTTCAGAGGAAAAAACACACCTATTTTCATTACACATTAGCTCTTATGAGCTTAAATTCTACTGACCATTGCATTTTGAAGCACAAAAAAAAAGGAGATGGTTCACAGCATTCTTGTCACAGAAAAGATGTGGTTTTCCGGCCTGGATTATTAAACTTTACTGCCCGGTGGCTCCATTCAAGCTGTTAGCATCCAGCTTCCAAACTGTTTTTGTTTGTAGACGTGCAAACGGACAAGTAGTGCTTGACTGTTTCTTCAGTCCTGCTCTGTGAAAATCTACAAAGAATACAGGATAGTGGGACGGGAGGAAAATTGTGTGCCTCGTTTTGAAACAAATGTCAGTGGTTAATAATGCAGAGAGGTTGCAACCCACAGCTAAAGAAATGTTGGTGTAAAATACTATGTAGTATTGCTTTCATTTAAAATGCTGTCTAGTATTTTTTTCAGTTCATCTTTTTGGGAATTTGACTGCACACTATATGTGATTTGATTTCGCCTTCTACAGAAGACAGAGGGGAAAAAAAGAGTTAAATGCACAGAGCCACAGGATTCCCACACACAGGTTTGCAAGGCAAGAAAGAACACTGCTTTTGAAGTTTCACATCTCTCTAGATGCAGTTTTCCATCTTTAAACCATTCTGTTTCAGGCCCTTTTCTGAGGCACAAAGAGGAGATTCTTCCCATACTGTTCTCTGTTCTTTGCTGACATGGCACATAAACTCACAGATGAAACAGAAAGAATAAAATGGGATAGCTCTGAAATCCTTTACTAGCTATAGAGGCACTGGGTCTAGGATAATGGGAGTGCAACACTGTAAGGCTCAGGACAAACGGAGAGCAGACCATGCCCACATCTGGGATGTGAAGTCTCGTTTCGCAGGACAACAGGGGACCTAACAGCTGATATCCAGACTTTCACTCATGTGACCCAGATGGTTCTGTCCTTACTAGGCACAGTCTTGTTTACATTTTAGTTTCGTGAGCCAAGCTTTTTCCCCACAGTCAGCCTACTGAATTAAGGGTTATATAGGGAGTGTATATGTATATAGTTTGGTGTAGTGTCTTTATAATTTATTGGGAAACAGTTTTCTCTGCCTAAGTCCGTTGTGTCACTGGAGTAATGAGTGTGTTCACTATTACTTGTGAACTATTCTTGAGCTCATCTGTAATCTGCTAAATGGATGAAAATGAAGTGGTCAAGACCTGCGGAGCCTGTTGAATTCCACTGTAAACTGATTTAATTTGAAACAATAGATTTGATGTGGACACGATGATGACTTTGTAGAGACTATAGTCTTATTAAAGCAGTTTGTGTTTCCAGCTACCACAAACAGTGCAGAGCTGAATCAAAAGGTTCGCAGGCAATATGCAGTGCCCAGTGATTGTGACAGAGTCATCAAGGGAAACAGGGGAGTTTGCTTATTTATTTGCCTTTCAATTATAAAATTACAGTGACAGGTCTAATACTTCTTGTGATGTTGTAAATGTTAGAATACCGTTTGAACTGAAGTATCAGAACCACGCTATCCGTCAAGCTCATGACCTGATTGGAGTGCAGTGAGTCACTTTACATGTCTGCTGTGGTTTCTGTACAAACAAAATCTGTAACAAGCTCCTCCTTTAGTGCAGCTGCTCCAGCCCCACCTGTCTGTATCATCGCCAGCATCACAGAGCAGAAAAACTGGTCCTTCTTCAGAAAGACACCGTTTTCAAAATCCGGTCATCACATTTGAAACTTAAATGGTTACGTGTAACAAAGCTTTTTTTAAGCATATAATGATTGTGTCAAAATGACAATCCGTACGATCTCAAGCTTCAATAAAAATGATGGATTGGCAGCGTGCTTCCGTCTGAAATTGTCATTGGTGCCTGTCATTTCAGTGTGGTGAGAAGACCACCTGCAACCCCCCCTGATTCGTGCATTTGAACAAAATGTGATGTGTATGCGGAGGAGTCTTGCAGGAGTTTCGAAAGTCTGAAAAACCAAAAACAGTGTAATCTTCAGGTGAGAACAAGAAAATGTCAATGTTCTGAGTTCTCTGTAAAAGTATCTGACTTCTGCTTAAATTTCTTGCTGTAGAATTTAAGTCCCTATATTTTGCTTCTAGTTGTTTTTGGTCATTAGAAATCTGACAAAACTGTTGACTGTAGCAAACCTATCCTAACCTTCTCTTCACTGGACCAGGAGAGGAATGTTCCCAGTCGTCCCTGTAGTTGCTAACACCATGTCACCTTTGGAGAAATGTTGACAATCCCTTGTGTTAAAAGCCTCCATTTTTAAAAACAGAAGTGACAAAGGAGTGAATTACTGCTCAATGCACTTTATATATATATCTATTCAAGACTTTTCAATGGGTTTTATATATCGGTGGTAAAGTCTGACTTTTATTTAGTTGCATTATGGGGTCAAATCCATTAGTAGAATGATATGAAAGGGTTTGTTTCAATGGATGTAATGTCTGAGAGCTTTGTCTGGTGTATATAACTCTCAGATACTTTCTGTACATTTTTTTAGTCATTTTATATTTTAGAAAAAAAAAATCAATTTAATGATCATGGTAGAGACAATCAAAAACATTTCCTTTCCTGCTCTGTATGTCGGCAGCTGAGGTTGTCTGCACTTTGAAGTGCTGTTTTGTCCTTTCAAACGTGCTTCCCGTTGGAAGGAGACCTGGTGATATCCGGTGGCTGCAGTCTGTCACTGTGTCACTATGAGTTGTCTCAAGTGCTTTGAAATAGTCTCTCTACCCGGTGGCTTGACTACATATAATGTAGCCTTGTTGGAATGGTTCGCGCACCAGCTAAAGTTTGGTGTAAGCACCTTATTCCGTTGTTAGCAAGACCGTGATTTCTTCTATCGCCAGTGGAGAGGAAGATGCATTTTTCATTCTAAAACCCAATCTACTAGAGAGAGCAAAACCCTTGGGGACCCATCAGACTGCTGCTCTGCTCGTACCCTCTTAACTAAATGAGGACATCCATGGCTCTTTAAAAGCTGGTTTAATCCTTGCTCCATGCAAATTATGGACTCACTCTATGTTCCTTTTATAACAACTGCTCTTGAATAGCTGCAACAGTACAGGCAGAACAAAGAAGTATAGAGGAAACCCGCCTATTACTTTTATACACCATAGTCAGGTAAATTAATCCTTCCGGCGCAAAATCTTTTGCCCTTTTACCAAAGCCAACCTCTTTTCTATAACTCCCTCAAGTCGGTTTCATATTGTAGTCCAGTATTTTAAAATACAGTATATGTGATTGCTTTTTTTGAAGATCGGAAGGAAAATTAAAAAAAAAACTCCCTATACATATATACCAAACCATGAAATAAGTTTCCCTTTTCCCATCACTCTTAACAGATTGTGCAGTGTTCCCTGAAAAGTTCTTATCTGCTAAGGTCTTGCAAATCCCCCAGTTGTGTGGTGTTTCTGATGTAATTTAGTTCTTTTGCTGTGTTCTCAATGCACTGTGTTGCTCTCCATCCCCGAACAACCGTGCTGTACGTCTGCAGGAAATAAAATGGATGAATATTTATAATAAAGTCTCACTGGAGACATGATATTCAAAGTGGTAGATAATACATGATTGATTATGTAAGTTTTGCATCATAAAACGTCACTGAGTTTTCTATAATAAAAAGCACAGCATTGTTGTACTCCAAGGGCACATCATAAAATAAGATCATTTACAGCTGTTTAGCAGTACAGTGGTATCCCTCAGTATGTGCAGCTGTACTGTTGTATATACAGATGTACTGCGGTATCCCTCAGTATGTGCAGCTGTACTGTGCTGTTCCTCAGTACAGTATGTACAGCTGTACAGTTGTACTGCTCTACTGTTATCACACAAAGAGAGACTGTTTCTTGGGGAAGCAGGTTTCAAACAATAATTGTTGCAGTATTGTTTTTCTTGATAAATTCATTACCTTTTCGTGAACTGGCTACTTAATTGCAGTGAAAAGCCTATAAAATGTTTTGTATAAAGGAGTAACTTTTCATTTTTAAGCTTCATGCTAAACACTAGCACTTTATCAACACACTGCACTTCCTGAAATGTGTGGTTTACAGTTTCCGAAACCTGAAACGTTGTTTTTCTTACTTATGTTCAGGGCCCAGCGACCATGCTGGCCTTTACTGGGCCTGCTGTGTGTGGCCTAGTGTGTGTGCGCTCCCCGAAGTGTGTCACTGTACAGTCAAGTCTGCTGTCAATGCAAGGATAACAAGCCCACCCCCTGCATCATCAGCGGTGTGAGACCACTTAAAAATACTTTTAAAGTATTATTAATTAAGAATGATTCATCTCTCCATTATCTTAAAGCAAAACAAAAAGTGCAAATGAGTGATAACCCGCATCTATGTACAGTCAAATTGAAAACTTGCACAGAACAAAAAAAAAAGTAAACCACTACTTTCAAACAGTGTATTACAAAATACAAAGTTCTCTAATTGTATTAGTCTGTGAATCTATGATGCTATGCTCTGTATATTTGGGGAAAAAAAATACAAAGATAAAAAGAAAAAAAAAGTCTTCTATGTGTTAGTGCCCTGTTTGCCAGGGTCCCTTCTGTGTTCTTGAGTGTGGTGAAGACCACAAGCATTAACATTACATCTTCGTCATCGTCTGGACAGAGAACTGTGAGGCTTTCGACTGTGTGTGTAGAGCGGTGTTACCAGTGATGGATCGTAGCTCTTTTTTTGTGTTTATCTTCCTGTATGTATCCATCTGCGCTGTAGAGATAGATAGTAACTTTTATATCTTACAAGGGATCCATCTGAAGACTGTGAAATGGCTTAGCTCAGCACGGAGAGTTCAGGTTGGCGTCAGCAGTTATCTTGGCTTCCCAGCCCCCAGCGCAGCTCATGTCTACTCCTCCTGCGCTGGCACAGGGGAGAGCGTGGGCCGCTCGCATCGCCCGCTGACACGCCACGCCCCCCCGCGGCCCGTGGCGATCAGACCTGCCCCTCAGTGCCCTGCGGAAGGGGCAGCTTCGCTTGGCGGAGAGCGGCTCCGCCGGTTGTGGGAGAACCCCATCCCCAGTTAACTGAAGGAGCGCCCCAGGTTCGAGCTGGGACATTTAAGTGCCCTTCCTGGTTAAGCTACCTGGGAGCACCCGGCGTCTGTCATTGGAATTTCATACTGTATGTATACCACTAAAGTTCGACTCAATTAAGCACGGCAACACATGAGCCCACTGTATGGGAACAACCTGTCTAATCGTGTTGTGTGCATCATGCATTCCTGTGCTTCCTAAATTGATAGCCTGGCACTCACTTTCACCCTAACATTCAGTGGTTCCTAATCTCATCCACAGTGCCACAGTGGGGTAACAGGTGAAAATTGTGCTTTCGTTCAGTAAAAAGCCCAAAATTCTCAGAAACACTCAGATTCCTTTGACATACTGGCTGATGCCAGATAGAAAAATAATCTCTGCTTTGAGTGAGATTGCCTGAAAGTCCAATTTGTTTATTTAAAATGGTATATGTATATTGCATTCACTTTTTGCTAATACTACTAGAATCTGAGCTCACTTTAAAACACATTTAGTGCAAAATGTGGCAGTCCGGTGTCTCTTTGGGAAGGTAATTGCTTTAATGATATACTCGCAGGTGTGCCTTTTTGTCTTTACATTGATAGCTCCACTAATGAGTCCCATCAAGTCAGTAGCAGAGCAGAGTGTTGTTCAACATGGGTTTTTACTGAATCATTGAAGAGAATCGCTTCACAAGATGATGTGGCCGCTGTAGTTGTCCTGGATTCCTTTTTTCCCAATGAAATCAGTGTGCAGTGATCCAAACACTAGCTGGACTCTTGAGAGAAGTGTCAATATCCTGCAAAAGTCTAGCTTTCCATAGGTTCTGAGCAATTGCACATACAATGCTTCCCTTGCTATCATTTGTTTAAAGTCAACTGTAGTAGAAGAAAGCTAATTCAGAAACATCTGTCTGTTATTAATTTATTACGCTTTAGATCAGAACCCCCCACAGCTCAATTCTCAACAGAAATGCACATTTGTAATTGCAGAATTTACCCATTACAGTTTTACCATATGGGTTTACTGTAGGTTTTTATTGGTGTGTGTTATGCACAAACTAATTTTTCTAAACATTGCTAGTAAATATTTCATTGTTTTAAAAAGAAATATTGCATCAGAGAAAGATGTTTTTTTTTTACATAACATGAAAATAAAAGCCTGCCTTTTTTTTCTTTTTTCTTTATAGCACTAAAAAAACACGATAAAAATCATAATTCCTATTACTGCACTCACTTATTTTACTTCTTTGTTGTAGTGTCATTTTTGCTTATAAGGAAAATATCCTCGTTTCATTAACCAAGTATTAATTCTGACATGTCGCTCTGACAGGTGTATCTGCAGAAACATGTCGGCCTCCAGGTCAGTGGCTTTTCAATACTGCTGCAACTCGGATCACCACCACCATCATAATGATACACAACAAAATGCAAAGGTGAACTAATGAAAAAAGAGATAACACCTTAGTCATTATCACTAAGCTGAAACATTTCATTGCTGTAATGCATTCTGTACTGACTCCGTTCTTTGACAATAATATTAAATCAATGCAGTTATTTGTGGATAAAAAGCTACAATTTTAATGCAGTTTTGCTGTTTAGGGTATCTGCAAAGATCTTATCATCTTTGTGTACAATTTAAAGGCTAGTGAATTCCAAAGAGCTGGGCCCTTAATAACTATAATGCATTGACATGCATGACAGATGAGATTTCTCAGTAGTATACACAGATAATTTACCATCAGTGCACTTGATGACATTTGGTAAATGCCAGAATGCACTGGGCTACTTTCCAGTGAATAACTAAATAAAACATATGTTGGAAAATGTAAAGAAGAGCATGACGTGTAATTAACATTTCTTCGAATGCAAAGCCATTCGAAACCTTTTGAAGAGCTTGTGAAATCTAATATAATCCAGAAATCAACTTTTCAATAACTGTTTAACTAAAATATGTATAAAATATATTTTGTTTACAGCACACCAATGTTATTTTTAGAATTTCAGTTTTCTATAATGGAGAAGTCCATTTCAGCCATTTCCCATGGTCTTTCATGTAAGCTTTTTGGAAACATCTCTCTGCCTCCATTTTGCATTTTGCAGCTGAAACATCCTGAGCACCCTCAAACATGAATGTTGTGTCTAAAGTTTTACTGTATCCTGAAACAATTTAAAAGACATTATCTGTGCATATTCCCCATATAGTTTAATCAGAAATGTTTGTTTTTAATCAAAAGGGAAAAAAAGTCCCTTATTCTTTGTTATGCATTATTCAATTCTCGTATGCTTTCTCCTTCATTAAGAATTTAGTATAATTATACTCAACACCTAATGCTATGATGTAGAAAAAGATGTGATCAATCATTGGCCTTAAAAAAAAATACTGGTCTCTGAAATATTGAATGTGTTAAAAACATACTAAATAGGCATCACTTTAGCATTTGATATACTGTCATGAGGCTAATTTCTTCAGTGATGAACCAGTAGGAGGCTGGAGGCTGGATCTTTTAGAATAGCACCAGTGAACTTGGAAATTCCTTCTGAAGGACCAAATATCTGGGAGTTTCACTGCTATTCTGTCATTCAAACATGGGGGAGTACTTACTGAATTAAAAAAAAAACAGATTTGTAAAGTGTGATATTTAGGGATTATAAATCAGTTTACACTGATTTCGAGCACTCCTGAGTAGCTCAACCAGTTAGTGCACCTGTTCAGAGCAAAGTGCTGAACGCCGTAGTCTTTGCTGCTCTGGACCTGGGCTCTGACTGGGGATCTCCCAGCAGAGTGGGGCCTGAGCAGACTGCAGTCACTCGGGTTGTCCGCGGCTCACTGTGACACCCCCTGACTTGTCAGCCTGGCATCTACTGTATGTCGCTGCATGCTTACTCACAGGCCCATGTGTGCTCCTGCCGTTGGCATTTTGAGCTCCTGGTGGATTACAGAAGCAGATGCTCAGACTGTGCTTATTTTTCAGGGTGCATGTCTTAGCCTTTCTTTGCGCTATGCACATTGGACTGTAGTGGTGAGTTGACTTGATTAAGAATTGGCTATTCCAGACTGATGAATATTAAAGTAATTGTTAATTTGATTTTTTATTAAACAATTGTTTATAACGTCGAAGCTAAGCCATGCTTTAACAGAATTAATAATCATCCAGATACTGTAGGTTTGTACTGGCTGCAGTCCCAAACTTTGTATATTTTGCTGACAGAAGCTCTGCTTTTTTATTGCTATAAAGAAACTTCACAGCTGTCGCGCAAAATTGGGGAGAACTTATTTTCCCAGGCAAACCGACTGTTCTGACACCTGTCGAACTGCAAATGCAGTTAGAAAAGGCGAAAGTTTTTTATTCATTTATAAAGGCACACCGCTGCTCTACTGAGGCACTTGTGTTTAAGCGCTTAGTCCTGTCCTCCTGTCTGTGAGATCCTTGCTGTTTTAAGTCAGAGAGATTCATGACTCTTCCTCATGCCATCTGGCTGAACACATCATGTTCAAATTATTGAGAAAGGAAACTTTCTGGTTTGCGGGTCAAAGAATCCGAAGACAAGCGCCAGAGCATGACAGGAGAAGGCGAAGGGAAACTCGCTGCACTCCCTGGCCACAGAGCTGATGTAAGAAGGCCGTAATTGTGCCCCCCAAGATGCTGCAGAGTCGAGCAAATACGTCTCGCAAGATACCGATGTCGACATTTGTTCAGAATGAGTACAACAACATGTTGTCACGCCCTCTGCAGCCAGAGGGTGTTCCTTCTCTGTCCTGTCTCTAGTTTCCGGTCTGCTGTCCTTTCTGTCCCTCTCTTTCCCTTGGGCTATATATTTCCGGGTCTTGCACTCTGTCCTCGCTCAGCATTGATGTTCGGATGTCCTGAGACCCACCTAGCACCAGGGCACCCCACGTCCGCTCCCTGAGGGCATAGGTTTCTATATGGCATTCCTGAACTCTTTGCACTAACGAGCCTGGGCCTTTTTCCCATCTCGCCGCTACGCATATGGGTCTTTTTCCGCTCTCCTGCTCCCCACGGTTAGTCCCTTTGGACGTCCGTGACACATGTGGGGTAAAAAGAGTCATGCTCAGGTTAGGCCACAACGCCTGATGTTGTTGTACAATGACAAACCAAAACGTAAAATAACCCTTTCATAAATATACACAAAACCATCGAAACCAAAACTGCTTCTTCGCATTTAGGGTTGTAGGGGGAGCAGTCGCGTATCTCAGCCAGCTACAGGTGCACGGTAGGTCACACCATGGTCAGGACGCCAGTCCATCGCAGGGTGAACACACAGAGACACACTCACACCGGGCCGGTTTTCCCAGAAGCCATTTAAGCTTCCTCTGGACTGTGGAAGGAAACTAGAGCACCCCGA